AGCTAAATACAATTGTAACACGGTCGTTACTTCCTAACGGAGGGCGTCTGTTCGAAACGTCGCAGAAAATATACTAGAAAAAAGTTTTTATTTAGAAGTGTCATTTTATTCTTTATTATCATCTATCGAAGTATTCGGGTGAGTTAGGAAGTCGGTTGCAAAATACGTGAAACAGACGCTAATTCCATTTAATGCCGAGCATGTCATGTTTGGATCGGACAGATGGATCATGTGATATAGCTTAAAATAGTGGAATAGAGCTGATCACAGCCGCATTTAGATCATTACTTTTTAGGTTCGGTATTACCATGTACCTGTGCTAGGATAGAACTATTTGTGATTTCTTACTTATCCTTTTTGAAGATACGGTAAAACGTTAGCCGTTTAGCAGAGGGGTATTCTATATTAATTCACGCTGTATGTTTATCAACTTGTTTATTAGTTAATTCCTGCATTTTGGAGCTAGCAGGCGGACTCAGAGTGGCCCAGGGTATGTCCTAATCTATATATTATAGCCCTCCATCTTGATAGCGAACTAAAACGCGCGCGGAAAGTCACCCAGGCATAATATGGGCCTAGGAGCAGGTTTTCAGGATCGTTCTACTAGAATCTTGGATCAGATTTTGAGTTTCTGGGCTTCGTCGATATCCGGTAGACGCCACGTTTCAAACTCTATTCATACCCCCACCCACATACCACGGGCTGGTGTCATAAATGGTGTTCTTTGTTGTTGTCTTTTTCGGGTACAGATCACCCCTTGGGTTAGTTATAGAAGTAATTGGAGATAGCGGAGGAGCTTGATCAGTACATTGAGGCCTCTGTGAATCATGAGGGGCATTTGAACCCCTCAGCAAAGCGTGGGTATCTTATACTAGTATAAACAACGTTTGTTAACTAAGATTTAAAATAATTTGGTGTCATTTTCGAATAATTCAAAACGTTTGCAGTTGTTGAAAGGAAAACTTGACCTACATTCAGGATGTACGCGGGATGTATGTAGTGATTGGGAAGCGTTAATGACTCGTTATCACTTGACTTCTTAGTAAAAGCGCGTGATGGCGTATATCCTGTTTTCAAAACCACTTCCTGAAATCGTCTTTTGCTTCTGTATGCTTAAAAAACGTAAATACGTTTTTACATAAGATTTATGTAAATTTATTTCTAAATGTAAGTTTTTTGTTTCTCCAATATATCTTTGCTTACAACAAATACAAGATAATCCATCAAAAGCATTACATGAACTAAAACTAAATCTAGAATTTATGAAAATTATTTTCTTCCCTGTAGGAATTGTAATATATTTTCTGCATGTAATATAACCTTTCCACAAATTTAAGAATTTGGCTTAATACAAGGAAATACATCCATCAGATTTCTTCAGTTTATTTTTCTGAGTTAAAATAATCTATAAAGGTTTGGGCTGTCTTCGTGATAATATGATTTTTTTTAATTCTTAAACGTATCTTTAAAAATGTATCCAAAATTCTTTTCAATTCTTTTATGGATATCATTAACATTGATTTAACTCGAGGATTATAATGAATGAATTGAACGATTATAAACGGAACAATCTGTTGTTCTTCTTTTAAATTATCTATATAATTATTGTTAATTTCCTTTCTTTACTTTTAGCTAAGTTAAAATGTCTATCTATATCACTTCCTGCATAATGACACTTCCTCTAAGATAAGATTTTAATTCTATAAGTCTTTGCTATTGAATTTCCGGGTTGTAAACAATGGGGAAAAATATTTAGTTTAGTATATATACAGAGTTATTACTATAAATCTAAATACTGGTGTGAATTAATAAGTTTGTAGCATACATCAGCTTCAATCTTGCCATCTCCTTTTTTAATAATAATAATACATTAAATAAAAACTATCTAAAATAAGGTTTAAATTAAACCTTTGGTTATAATTTCTTTATTAAACTGTGTATGTAAAAAAATTGGGTGCCTTTCTAAAAAAATAATCAATACTTTTTATGCCACATTCATAGCTTTTTTTTCTATTGTTAAGATGTCTAAATTCCTCCAACATGAAACTACAAATTCCGAAAAACAACAAAATGTTTCCATTTGGATATTTTTTGTGAAAATAGGATATTACTGTATGAAAATTATATTATTAATAAATTTAAAATCATGTTAAATGTTACATAGTTTAACGCACAGAGGGAATTTAAACCATATACAAAACTATAAGGTCACGAAACGAGGGAAGTTTATTCATTCTTATGCATTTTTTATCAAAAACGTGTCTAACTTTAGAAACTGAAACTATCCTTGAAAATACAAAACTGGTATTCTTGTGTGTGTTTTTATTTATTTGTTGTTTTTAAGTTAATAAAAAAGGGTTTTAGATAATGTTAACATTTTTATTTTGTCTCATTATATAAATGTGTACATATTAGTTGCCTTCTGGAGTTTTTTTACTTGCAGCTATCACTTCCCAACAGAGTAACCTCGCCACTTTAATCTCCAAATAAAATATCCCTAATCTCCATACAAACATTCCACGTGTTCACAGTTACCCTACTTTGATAAATGAAGCTGAGTTGTGAGCACAATTCTTTTTCAAGTTGTAATCTTAGATTTTTAATGTATTTCATGTAAAGTATGTTTCGTAACATTGATTTATTTTTTACTAATGAAAATATCAATTTACTAAATGGGATATTCGTTTGTGCTATTAAAATAAAACTGTTCTGATTGTTTTATTTTTCATTTTTATTGATTAACATTTTTCTAAGGAAAATTACTGAACTAATGTTATAAACGTGATAGAATTTTGCAATCAATTTATTTTGATAATGTGGCTGTAACAGATATGCTTGATTATATATACATTTGCTTAACAGAATAATCTTTCCCTGGAGTTGACAATGCATTATACTTTCCAGATACACTTTTTGTCAGTAAAAACGTTTATAAAATCTGTTGCTTTTAATGCTTGACAGAAAACAGTAGTTAGGACCAAAGGTAAGTAAAAGCTGAAAAACAAGTGTAATTTTGAGAAAACTTGCTGTAAAACTGGTAATATATACATGTGTTTCGGTTAATTTGTAAAACTGGTAATATATACATGTGTTTCGGTTAATTTGTAAAACTGGTAATATATACCAGTGTTTCAGTTAAGTTGTAAAACTGGTAATATATACCTGTGTTTCGGTGAAGTTGTGAAATTGGTAATATATACCAGTGTTTCAGTTAAGTTGTAAAACTGGTAATATTTATCAGTGTTTCGGTTAAGTTGTAAAACTGGTAATATATACCTGTGTTTCGGTGAAGTTGTGAAATTGGTAATATATACCAGTGTTTCAGTTAAGTTGTAAAACTGGTAATATTTATCAGTGTTTCGGTTAAGTTGTAAAACTGGTAATATATATACCAGTGTTTCACTTAAGTTGTGAAACTGGTAATATATACCAGTGTTTTGGTTAAGTTGTTGAATCTTGAGCAAAGCTATTCGAGGACTAACTGCGCAAGCCATAACTAATTTTGGAGTGACAGGCTAGAGGGAATGCAATCAGTCAACACTATCTACCGCCAAATCGTAGGCTACTTTAATTGAATGGTGGAATTTAACTGCCGTCACTCTTATAATGCACTCATAGCTCCAAAGTACGGTTTTTATTATATTTTTCACGGTTTCGGAGCGCGGACTACGGAACCGCTGTTCTGCAGTTTAACATGCTAACCACTGGACTGCGTCTGGCCCGTTTCAGTTTGAAGTTTGGTCAATTACTATATTAAGATGATCAAAATATAATTAATTCATTTTTCTGGTACCGTTTTATCACATGTGTCAGTAAGGGGATTTATATATATTTCAGAGTTTATAGCAGCGTAATATGAAACCATTAATTTCCATTCGTTTCAAAATCACTGTAAATATTGAGTACAGTTAAGTAACACATTTGAAAAACATTTATTTTGGGATACCCTGTATAACTATGTATTGTTCAACGAAAGTATTATTATGCCACTTTAGATCGTCTGTAACGTCTAATAAGAGATGGCGTTATTTTAACTGCAATATCAGCTTTTACAGTAACATTTCCCACAGTTAAATTAACTATTTTCATTTTTATTCAGTGTCCCTTCTTAAACTGAAATAATGTCAGTATTGCAAATGAAATCAAAAGACACGTTATATGGTATGATGTAAGCAAGACACCGAAGCAAATATATGCGAGGTACTAACAAAAATTTATTTCTGAAGTTAAATTTTTATCTATTGCTGGAATACAACGTAAAGCAAACACTTATCTAAACTTTTATAGCAGTTATAGTTTCTATTTTATCCTTTTCAGGTTTTTTTTCTTTCATAAGAAAATATTATTAGTTAGGGGAATAATACTTAATTTTCACATAATTCTTATTCGATAACTTTTTCTTGCCGGAAATATCAACTTCAACAACGTTCCAACCAAATTTCATTCCGTTGATCATTTTCATTTCCAGTCACCTCGTAAATAGCTAGAGGTTAATGAAAATATTTTAATTAAAATTCAAGCTACTCCCGGACTTTGTCCAAAATTTTTTAAACTTATTCCATGAACCTCAAAGTACATATAAAAATGAAACATCTCCAGATGAATTCTCAACTTTAGATCTGATAAAACATTCACTGTAAGTGATCTTTTATTACTCTTCGTTATATACTGAAAATAATTATCATGTTAGGGCTACCTGTTCTTATGTTTATGCAATGTTTTTTAAACCATATATAAATTTATATATATATATATATATATAGTAGTCTTACTTACACATATTGTTCGAAGGAAAGACTCGTTAGTTTAAAAACTTTAAAAACGTTAAGTTTTAAAAGTTTAAGTAGTGTTAATTAATTTACCTACCTA